TTGCCTTTCTTTGGGATTGAAATGAAAACTGACCTTTTCCAGTCTTGTGGCCACTGCTGAGTTTTCCAAATTTGCTGGCATATTGAGTGCAGCACTTTCACATCATCATCTTTTAGGACTTGAAATAGCTCAACTGGAATTCCGTCACCTCCACTAGCTTTGTTCATAGTGATGCTTCCAAAGGCCCACTTGACTTCACATTGCAGGATGTCTGGCTCTAGGTGTGTGATCACATCATTGTGATTACCTGGGTCACGAAGATCTTTTTTTTCGCATAGTTCTTTATATTCTTGCCACCTCTTCTTGGAGACTAGATAGTGGAGCAGGCCATGCTGCCTGGGGGGGCTGGCACTAGCTGTGGGGAAAGATAACCTTGGAGGGGCATCAGCTCACCCTATCAGGAGAGAGGGAAACCTGTGTAGTTGTGGTGGCAGGAAGTTGAGGCATTTCTCCTCTTATGACTTCTGTTTTCCTTTTGAAGTGGAAATCACGGTCATCCTCTGAATGCGAGGTTTGGTGACTGGGTAGGAAGTGTGGGGTGAGCTATACATGCCTGAAATAACAGCTTGATCGATGGAGTTAAGAACCCCAGCTCGACACAGACACAGCCAGTTTTCAGCACCACCTCCCTGAGGCTGCTCTGCATGTTTGTATGGTTCTCTTGCTGTTGCACTTCCTCCTCCTCTCATTTTCCTTTCCTCGTGATCCTTTCTATTTTTATAGCAATCACTGGTAACTGGTGAGTAGGAGCTAGAATTGCTCAGACTTGACCAAGGCACGCACCCCCAGACCATTCACAATGGACACCATGGTGGGATGTGTAAGAAGGTGCTGAGAGGGTAACAGGCAGGAAAGCCAGGGGCCTCCAAATGGAGGAAATAGGCTGCATGTGTCAGAGAGACATTCTTTGTCTGTCTCTTAAGTGGCGGGAGGAAACAAACTAGTGTTATATTTTTTCCCCTTCTTTATACAAATTTAAAAGGAGGTTTCTCTTAAGATTCTGTGTTGCCATATTGACACCTGATTCCACCTGAAGTTAACTTTTCTCTAACCTTGAGCTAACCAATGCATTTTTCTTATGGAAATGTTTGTCTTAAGCTATATTAGTGTACTATGTATTTACCCTAGACTCTGTCTCCAAGTTGGTCCCACCTAAAGGCTCAGGACTGACTTGACAAACCAGCATGTTATAGTCATGCCTTGTTCTCCTAATCTATGCTAAGGAAGCCATATGGTTGTATGGACATCTGCCTTTCTTCAAGCTTCACGTCAATCATTTCATGGCCCAGGATGACTCACCTGCTGCCAATGTTATCTCAGTGCGTGTTGCGGGTGAGGGGCCTGGCGCCATTCTCTGAGTTTGGAGACATTTCCTTTCTTTAATTAGCAGCCTGCTAGTAGCTGTATAACATCTGGCTAAAGACTAGCAGGGGGCACTCTTCCTGCCCCATTCTGATGTCTATGTCAGAAGCTTTCTTTTTCTCTTTTATACTTTAATAAAACTTTATCACACAAAAGCTCTGAGCAATCAAGCCTTGTCTCTGGCCCCAGATTGAATTATTCTCTGGAGGCCAAGAATCCCAGCATCTTTCATGGTTCAGCAATAACCTTTCAGTGCCATTGCCTTCAAAGACAAATTTCTCAGAAGGAGGGAAGATACTATTCTGGCCAGGCAAAATAATAGAAACCTAGCACATTATTTAAATAATTGTTATTGTGGCAATTAGAAAGTAAAACTAAATAAGGAAACAGTTTCTTAACAGTGTAGAGGGTCTGCTTGAAGTCAAAGAACATGAAATTCTAGTCACGACAACCTATAATTATATAATGTATATAATTTTCAGCAGCAATGCTCAGCAACTCTAATACGGATGGACTTAACAATGGTTCAGATTTGTGTTTTTTGTTTGTTTGTTATTTATTTTTTCAGAGATGTAATAGAAAAGAAATGGGCCAATATAGTTGATAATGGCAAAATAGAGGATGAAGAGATGGACAGATGATAGAATTAAAGGTATATATGATATGAAGCAAGGAAAGGAGGGAGGACAGGCAGAAAGCAGAGGATCAAAAAAAGAAAAGGCTTATTGGGAAAATATATGTGTTGTACTGAAATGGTCTGAAGTTGTGGTCAGAGAATTGGAGGACAATGTTTCAAGTGTGGATAATTATGCAGGATAATAAATTTGGTATCTAGCCATGGATTTAGTTTACTGATGTGGAATAAATACAATGTAAATGAGAAGTTAAAAAATAGACATTAAGCTTTGGGTGGGTCGTTTATGTGGACAGTGCTGCCTGCCACATCACCGGCAAGTCTAGTGTTGGAGGAGGACATTGAAACAGGTGCAAAAGACGTCAGTGGATGAGAGGGTGCATACTTCTTTGCCTTTGCTGAATTTGTTACAGTGATGATTAGAAACTATTTGATCCCTAGGGTCTTCAGACTGGAATGTAATTTCTGCCACACATTTATCTTAAAACCACTTGTTAACACTTTGGATATAGAATTTATTAAAAAAGGAATTTTACTAGAGGGAAAATGGGTTAATGAATCATGAATATATTTAATATAATGCTTATTATATAGTTAGTATTTGATACTATGAGAATTACCAAAGCTACATTTTCTGACTTTAAAAAGTTTATCATTTGTTTAGAAAGTCAAATGTACAAACGTACACATATAAAACAATGAGAGGATAACAGACTAGTGTAGAGTACAAGCTGAAAAGGAGAATAAATGTGTACAGCACATATTCAGAGAAAGAATAGGCCAATTTTATTAAGTCTTTTGTTTGAACATTAAGGCTCTTGTATGAACTTGGAAGAAAATGAATGATGAAGACTACTTTAGGAACTCCTCTAAAGAAAGTGAAAGTGAAATCCACTCAGCTGTGTCTGACTCTTTGTGGCCCCGTGGACTCTACAGTCCATGGAATTCTCCAGGCAGGAATATTGGAGTGGGTTGCCTTTCCCTTTTCCAGGGGATCTTTCCAACCCAGGGATCGAACCCAGGTCTCCTGCATTGCAGGCGGATTCTTCACCAGCTGAGCCACAAGGGAAGCCCAGGAACTCTTCTGCTTGCCTTTTTTTTCCATCTAAGATGAAAATATGTTGTCCAAAAGCAAGATGTCCTTTTACTCTTTATTCTCTGTTCAGGTGCTCATTATTTGTCTATAATGTGCTAAGTTTTCTGACTCAGGAAAGATTCCTTAATTATTATCTTCATCCTTTCCTTTCTCCAAAGTATATGCCCTCTGATTTGGGAATTTTAAAGACATTACTCATTTTTAAAATAACCCATAGGAAAAAAAGTTGAACTTAACGTAAAGATTTTTCCTTTGGTTTCTCCCCAAAGTCTTCATAATTTCCATCGATACACATGTAGTTGAAGGAATCGATTTTTCCATGCTCTGAGTGGAAGCCTATAGTCTCTCAGTTCAGTTCAGTCGCTCGGTTGCGTCCGACTCTTTGCCATCCCATGGACTGCAGCACGCCGGGTCTCCCTGTCCATCACCAGCTCCCAGAGTTAGCTCAAACTCACGTCCATTGAGTCAGTGATGCCATCCAATCATCTCATCCTCTGTCGTCCCCTTCTCCTCCCACCTTCAATCTCTCCAGCATCAGGGTCTTTTTCAGTGAGTCAGTTATTCCCATCAGGTGGCCGAAGTACTGGAGTTTCAGCTTCAGCATCAGTCCTTCCAATGAAGACCCAGGACTGATCTCCCTTAGGATGGACTGGTTGGATCTCCTTATAGTTCTAGGGGCTCTCAAGAGTCTTCTCCAACACCACAGTTCAAAAGCATCAGTTCTTCAGCACTCAGCTTTCTTTCTAGTCCAACTTTCACATCCATATGTGACTACTGGAAAAACCATAGCTTTGACTAGACGGACATTTGTTGGCAAAGTCTGTAACTAGCTTGAAAAAAAGCAAATGGTTTTTCACAGAGGTTAGCAAAATTTTAGCTGTGTCATTTTTCACAATTATGCCTTTTGGCTACTTGGGAGTGTCCACAGTGTGCGTCAGCCAGAAGGCCTTGCGGCCAGGTACTACGTCAACACACAGGCTCCATCACTAGGAGACGTGGCCTGAATCCTGCCGTGGCATACTCAGCAGTGCCACAGCAGACAAGAAAATTCTTCTCAATTCAGAACAAAAAAGAGATCTTTCTTATTGCACTGAGGCCACAGAAGTAAAAAAGATTATTCGTCACCATAGTTACCTTATATTCAGCAAGTCAGGTAGGAGGAACAGTTAATAAAACTTGTTAATTAATAATTTCTTTAAATCTTTCAGCTGAGGAAGTCAAATTGAAAAACAACCTCTTTACTTTTCCTGTGGTAGTTGTATCTCAGTAGTGTGGCCTAAAAACTTTGGCCTGAAATTGAGGCTAGATGAAAGGAAAGGGAAGAAAACCTTAAAAGTTACCATTGTAAGTAAAATAATCGTTTAAAAAGTAAAAAAATAAAAATAAATAAATAAAATGACCTGGGAAGAGATAATAATGGCTCTGTCGGCAGTTCGCTTTTTTTGTTTTGTTTTTGATAGAAAGTTAAGTTGCTTTAATTAGCAGAGTGGGCAGTCTAGGAAGAAGGCGGGTCCATGTCCCAAAACTAACTCCAAAGATTCTGCTTGGCCATGAAAATTTTTAGAAAGAAGTAGCCTCAGTTAATCACTGAGATAGGGCATCAGACTCTTAGCCATCGCCCCCACTGAGTGCGGGCTTGCTGACTCCTCATGAGCTTTCTTTAGATTCTGCCAGTAGTTTTACCTTTGAATATAATAAAAGTTTTTTTTTAAGAGTATCTTTCCCAAGAGAAAAATGTCTATAATTTTGAATTGTGTTTCAGCTTCCTATTTTTACTTTATTATTGACTGGAAAACTCTAAAAAGCATGTTTGATCTACATGACTTCTAGCACTTTCATAGAAAAGCAAACTTAAGTAATGCTTCCAAGTGTAATATGAGCCGCAGCAGGATTTTGGGAGAGGAAAGGTCAACCTTCTGTCTGTCCAGCTGGGGGAAGGGTGGGGTGACCAGCCTCACGCTCCCCGATCCGCCCTGCTCCTTTCACAGGAGAGAGCAGGGCTGAGTCTCCCCTCAACTCTAAGCCTCTGAGGATTGCTTCTGGGCTCCCCACGACAGGCCCAACGCCAGGCCTTGCTGGCCCGGCCGGGAGCACCTGGGTGGAGGACCGGGTGAGGGAGGCCGGGAGCACCTGGGTGGGGGAGCGGGTGAGGGAGGCCGGGAGCACCTGGGTGGGGGAGCGGGTGAGGGAGGGTAGGGCCTACTGCCGGTAGCAGCAGTTTTCATCATGTCCTCAGAGGGCTGGAAGGAGTGGGCCAGGCGCTCCTCCCAGGAGGGAGGGGAGAGGTGAGGGGTGAGAAGGCTGATGCCCGCAGGCCCGCAGCACGTTTCTTCTCCTGGGTCTCCGGCTCGGAGCCCTGGACTGAGCCACCCCAGGCAGATGGTGCCTGTCCCTGGCCAGAAGCCTGGCTGCACAGCTCTGATTCAGGGGGACATCAGTGTTGCTGGCGCTGTCAGTAACTCAGCCTGTCAGCTGCGCACCCCGTTTCCAGGCAGACCTAGTGCCCGTGATGAACTGTGGTCCTCGAAGCCCATGGAGGCTTCCCAGGTTGGCTAATTATTTGATACACCGTCAAACTGAGCTTATATGCAGAGTACATCATGAGAAACGCTGGGCTGGAAGAAGCACAAGCTGGAATCAAGATTGCCGGGAGAAATATCAATAACCTCAGATATGCAGACACCACCCTTATGGCAGAAAGTGAAGAAGAACTAAAGAGTCTCATGATGAAAGTGAAAGAAGAGAGTGAAAAAGTTGGCTTAAAGCTCAACATTCAGAAAACTAAGATCATGGCATCTGGTACCATCACTTCATGGCAAATAGATGGGGAAACAGTGGAAACAGTGTCAGATTTTTTTTTTTTTTTTGGCTCCAATATCACTGCAGATGGTGACTGCAGCCATGAAATTAAAAGGCAATTACTCCTTGGAAGGAAAGTTATGACCAACCTAGACAGCATATTAAAAGGCAGAGACATTACTTTGTCAACAAAAGTCTGTCTAGTCAAGGCTATGGTTTTTCCAGTAGTCATGTGTGGATATGAGAGTTGGACTAGAAAGAAAGCTGAGTGCCGAAGAATTGATGGTTTTGAACTGTGGTGTTGGAGAAGACTCTGGAGAGTCCCTTGGACTGCGAGGAGATCCAAACAGTCCATGCTAAAGGAGATCAGTCCTGGGTGTTCATTGGAAGGACTGATGTTGAAGCTGAAATTCCAGTGATGGGAAGAACTGACTCACTTGAAAAGACCCTGATGCTGGGAAAGACTGAAGGCAGGAGGAGAAGAGGATGACAGAGGATGAGATGGTTGGATGGCATCACTGACTCAATGGACATGGGTTTGAGTAAACTCCGAGAGTTGTTGATGGACAGGGAGGCCTGGTGTGCTGCAGTTCATGATGTTCAAAGAGTCGGACACGATTGAGCAACTGAACTGAACTGAACAAACTGCTAATGTTAAATAATTCTTCCCGTATTTACTTGGTGGGAAGGCTGAGGGCTGATTAGGAAAAAGGGTAAAGGGAAGATTATGGACGGCAGCTCTTAACTTCTCCTAGAATTCAGTTGTCTCCTGCAATCTGGTCTAAACTTGCCAGTCACTCACCAAAACAAAGTTCAGTGAGGTGAACAGGATTCATCCTTTCTGGAAAGCAGAAATGCAATTAAGTCTTAGTCCTCAGGTAAACCCTTTCATGAGGATTGTGATAAAGGATTTTTCTCCCTACTTTCATAGATACAACAATTGGGTGACCAGTGAACAACTGAGTTCAGTCCCATCAAGACTGAAGTACCTGGGAATTCTTCTTTGAAACTGGAAATAACTTTTCTGGTCACAGTTTTTGATGTAATGAGTTGTGAGGCAATATGAGGGCCAAGCTCTCTAGGATGGAGTACTGGCTTTGTCACTTACCAGCTGTGTGAGCTTGGGCAAATTATTTAACCTCTCTGTTCATCAGTTTCCTGATTCATAATGTAAGAGTAATAATAATAGTATTATAAGGATATTGTGAGCCTTAAATAAACAAGTATGTGTGTGTGTGTGTATACACACACATAAATGCACCATATAGATCTGAATCTTGCGTGAAAGTGAAATAAAATGAAAGTGAAAGTCACTCAGTCGTGTCAACTGTGACCCCACAGTCCATGGAATTCTCCAGGCCAGAATACTGGAGTGGATGGCCATTCCCTTCTTCAGGGGCTCCCCACCCAGGATGGAAGCTGGGTCCCCGCACTGCAGGCGGGTTCATAGAGCAAGCGTAACAGCTGCTAGCTGCCGTTCTTCTCTCACACCGTGGTGAGGTGCTGGCTGCTCTGGGACGGGCAGTACAATGGCTGTTTAAGCTAAGCCTTTGTGGAACAATATCGAAGCTCCCAATCCCAAGTGACCCTCCAAACAGGCTGCTAGGTACCCCATCAAAAGGCTTGTTCCTTAAAGTCCTGTGGAGACATAAACTTTATATCACAAACTACTGTTCTTGTAATTTTTCTATTTTTTTGTCCCCATTACACTAACCTTCCTGCTCATTCTGCACCAGGCGAATAATAACTCTCTACTTTGGTCCCCAGTTTATGTCCAAAAATATTTCCCTCTTGGCATTTAACTTTATACTTATTTCCCCTGGACTGTAAATCTCCAGAAGGACCCTGTTCTTTCCCCAGTGTTCAGTACAGACCTTGGGATGTAGTAGGGGAATATGAATGAGTTTTCAATGAAATTGACTGAACCCTTGAGTTCTTAGACTCTCCAGGCCTCTCAATCCATTATTTATGACTTGACATCATTTTCTCCTCAGGCTAAACTCCTGTCTGCCCTGACGAGCGACTTCCGTAAGCCTTTTCAGCACTCACAATTTCTTCCTTCTCTGCTGCTTTGCCACACCCAGTGCTGTCTCCCCTTGGCGATTTACATTTTTGTTGTTGTTCCAAAGTTTTAGGATTCTGTAAGGAAAAGAAAAACCCGGCAATCTGCACTGCAGATTGACATGGGTGACGTGTCATGTTTATGAATTTCGACTCCACTGCTTTTGGGACATCCTGGACCTGCTCCTAGTCGCTTCCCTTTTTATTCCCCTTAGCGGGTATCCCAAAATATCTCCGAAGTCCCATTCTTTTGCACATTTCATCATTAGCAACTTTTTCCTTAACTGAGAAAATAATTTGGAAAATGAATTGAATAACTACAGGAGTTGAATAGCCTACTTTTCTTGCTTTTTGCTTCCTGAACTATTCCTACTTCTGTCACCTACCCCATTTCCCCCCTAGACTCTTGAGCCTATCTTCTAGTTCCTTTGAGATCTTAATGTCAGTTATATCTCGCCTCGATTTCAATTTGTCCCTTTCCATTGCCTTTTGCCCTAGAGCAGAAAACCCAAGTCAATACTGTAAAAGCTTTCCTGAGATCCTGACTTCATGAAGTGTCTTGAACTGGTAATCGACGTTTCCCTTTTAAACTTCTTCAGGTTTTATTTACTTCTCAACCATCGTGCTCTGGCTTCTGGTAATGTCTCTTAAAATGTGGCTGTCACTGAGATTATGTTATTTCAGGTTTGCAAGCCCAGAGACTTGGTCTCCTGCCAGGCTCGCTCTGTCTGCAGGCTGTCTGGCCTGGCTTGCCTCCTCCTTCTTGGACTGGCTCTCTCTGGTGCCCCACGTCACACGCTCTGCTGGGCCACCTCCTGTCTTTCTGGCTGTCCTCAGAGTTCCATTCGTTCGCCTTTCTCTTCCCGCTCTCGTATACTGGTAGTCTCCATAATTCTTCCTTGCACATCTCCTCAGTTTGTTCCCTTTGGTGATGTCATCCAGTTCCTTGGTTCCAGCTATTGCCTGGTTATCAGCTCTCAAAGGAGTCTCTCCTTTTTTCTCCTGAGACTTACATTTCCAACTGCATGCTAGGTATCTCAATATGAATGTCTGTGAAGCACCTTAAATTCTGCATGGTTCAAACCAAACTCTTATGCTTATTCCTTCTAAATTTGTTCTTTTTTATGGGTTCCTTACACAAAAAATAGTAATTGTACTCACTTGTTCAAGATAGACTAAAGATGTTCTAGATCTATCTCATCCTCACACACTGTATAAAATTAGTCACTAGTCTTCTCGAATTCAAGTTCTAGACATTTTGAATCTATTTTTTTAATGTTTACTGCACTGCCTTCATACTGTTACTTAGATTATTGCATCAGCTTCTTATAATTTATCTCTTCTTCGGGCACTTCTATATTCAATACATCCTGCATAATGGATCCAATGTCTAAGTTTCTTCACTTACTAATTAAAAATACATCTTTTAGTATCTCTCCTCTGCTAATAAACCCCCATAGTGTCCCACAGGATACCATTGCTCTAGGCTGCTTTACTATATAGCTCTCAGGATTTTCATCCATACCCTCCGGCCCTGCAGGAATACTAGTGAGGAACTAATTATGCCATACTATTTCATGCTTCTATACTACTTTCTCTTCCTTAAATATCCTTGTCCAATTTATTCTTCCCTCAAAATTTATTTATTTGTTTGTTGGCTGCCCTGACCTGTAGGATCTTAGTTCCCCTACCAGGGATTGAACTGGAGCCCCCTGCAGTAGAAGCATGGAGTCTTAACCACCACACCGCCAGGGAATTCCCTTCCCTCAGGATTCAGAAAACGCCGTAATATAATAGATGTATAGTAAATGAAATCATCCTTCTAGTTTCAGCTCAAGTATTTTTTGCATGAAACCTTTAAAATAGCTGCTAAAAATCATAACCCCATTCCCTGTTTTTTTCATAAAACTTAATAAGTAATTATCCCTTAATAGTACTTGACTTGCATTATAATTAATTTGCCTACTAGGCTCATTCAACTCTGAGTCTTCATTCCTAAATATGGAAAAAGGTAATAGTACGTGGACATGGGTTGAATGTGAATACCTAAGTTAGGAATTTTTAAATTCCCTTCACTCATCACAAATGTGAGCTCATTTTTACCTCTCCTCCAGATTTCACTGTGTAAAGAAAAAGACCCAGAAGAAGCTGACTCATATGACAATTATTGTTTGTTGGAGGTGATGGGAAGGATGAACTGAGTTGGGAATATCCCACATCAGGGAATCTTCCTGGGAAGACACATTAAGAAAATGCAGTGCTGAGGAAGATCCTGGTCTCTGAGTACATAGCATGTGTTCCCTGGG